ATGGTACACTTGGATTCCATCTCTGCCCATCTTTGCTCCAAGCATGGAAAACCAATACACAATGGGAGAATTTGGTCCATTTCCTAAAACTTTACTGTTGGTGCCCACTTTGATATGCAAGGGCCTCCTTATCTTTGAGCTCAAGAAAGTAAAAGGTTTTTGTCTTTGGAGTAATACCGAGGTTCCAGTAAGTTCTACTTTTCTGCCTTTCTTTTTTTTTTTTTAGAATTATTTATTATAGGGACCAGTAGTTAGCATAATGGCTATGTCGCTGGACTCCCATGTAGTCAACCGCGGTTCAAGTCCTGGACCCCATGGCTTAAACTCACGTCGGGCACATGTGCGTGCGTGTGTGCCCGAGGTCCTGAGAGGAGAATGAAGGAAAAGGGATTGTGGCGTGGCCATCCCCACCTTGGGGGTGATTTCTCGTTTTCTGTCTCTCTCTGTCTTTCTGGTGAACGCACATGCCCTATAGTAAAAACCTCTCCAAAAAAAAAAAAGAATTATTTGTTATATTTTATTTATTATTGTTATTATTTTAACAGTTTGATCAGGGAAAGTGAAAACAAGCTGCCAGCTGCAGGACTCAAACTACAGTCAGCCATGTGAGAGTCTAGCACCTTAACCACTGTGCTACCTGTTGGCCCGGTGCTGTATGGTTTTAAACTATTCCTCCGAGGTTCAGTTTTCTTGAGGTAGGGATAATTTTTCTGATCTCAAAAGATTATTAGGAATAAATGAAAATAGTTAAGACTTTGGGCATCAGATATGATACATAGTAGGTTTCTTAGTCCACTGTTGTGTTGCCAACCCAAGTATCTGAAACTAGGTGATTCATAATAGAGGTTTATTCGTCTCACAATTTGGAGGCCCATGGTCCAGGGACCAACTTCTAGTGAGGCTGTAACATGGCGGAGGGCAGGATCTTGAGCAGCATAGCTGTCCGTAAGTTTCTGCCTATTCTTGACTCTTTTCCCTTCTTAAAAACTCACCAGAACTCAAGCATAAATGTCCCACTGTAATGACCATATCACATCCGAAAGCTCCACCCTGGAACACTATAAAAGGATTGTTTTCATTTAACACTTTGATAGTACAAGTGTTTGGGAGATATCCAAACAATAACAAATGTACATTTCCCCCCTCCGAGGCCATTTTAATTGCCTCTGATCATTTTTTTGTGGTACTTGAATAACAATACCTATCATTGAGCACTTGATGCCAGCCCTGAGCTAAGGGTTTTTCCATGCTATCTCCTTCATTTCTCCCAATAACCCTTTCATGAAGCAGGAAACTTTTTAAACAAATGTAGGGAACTGAGACCTAGAGGATAAGTAGCTTACCTAAGGTAGGAAACCTAGTGAGAGGCAGAACTGGGATTCAAACACAGGTATTTCTGATTAAAAAGCCTGAGTTGCTTCTTATCCTTTTCTCCCTCCATTCTTTCCTAACTCATGAGAACAAGAATGGGAAAAGGACACCTTCAGCCAACAAGTTAGTATATCCTGGATTGATATAGATAGTGGAATTGAGAGTGTCAGATGTGAAGCTTGAGTTTTTTTTTTGGAGAGGTTTTTGCTACAGGGCGAGTGCGCTCGCCAGACAGACAGAGAAAGACAGACAGAAAGTGAGAAATCACCCCCCAGGGGGGATGGCCACGCTGCAGTCCCTTCTCCTCCATTCTTCTCTCGGGATCTTGGGCACGGATGCACACGCGCCCAGCATGAGTTTAAGCCACCGGGTCCGGGACTCGAACCGCGGTCGACTCTATGGGAGTCCAGCAACATAGCCATTATGCTAACTGCTGGTCCCTTGGATGGCACTCTTAACCTCACCTGCCTTCAGTTACCTTATCTGAAAAAGAGGACTTCCAATATCTACTTCACAGGATATTAGGAGGATTAACAGTTCAACATCTATTTCAGGGCTTGGGGCATAGTAGTCTGTGTCTTTCTGTCACCCTGCACCAAGGCCTGCCTTAAGTCATTGTTCCTTCTGTGAAGCTTCTGAGGCCACACCAGGCCAGACTGATGTCTTTCTCTACTTTTATAATACTTAACACTCTTCAAACTATAAGATCTTGCCTAATATTGCTTTAGTAGTTCTTTGAGGGAAGTTGTTAAAATTCTTCCATGGACTGCAAGGTGCCTAAGGAAAAGGACATTCTCAGTCATTCCTGCATCTTCCTTTACCCTTAACTCAGAGCTGTGTAAAAAGAAAGGCCAATATCAGGAACTGTTTTTTGACTGATAGGATAGAAGGTTTGTATATATACTCAGTGTTTTTCAGCAGACAGGAAGAGCTGTTTAAGACTTGAGTGTCTCCCTTCATAACTCTCTACCTATCCTCACCTGTTACCACATTGATTCTCACAAAATCCCCGTATTATAGGCAGGGTGTGAATTGTATCCTTATTTTGCAGTCAAGAATCTGAGGGACAGAGGTCTCTTGTTAGGAGATAGAAGCAGACTAAGATAAGAGTAGGAGGAATGAGAACAGAAATCTTCCACTGTAGGTATCTGCAGGGAAGAAGGGGAAACTATTCCTGAGGCCTTCATTGATAATGAGGCCAGAACTGAATGTACACAAACCAGAGATGTTTCAAGAATGTGGCAAATACAGTGGCAAGAAAGGGTTCAGGATAACTTCATAGATTGTATAGACCTTGAAGATTGAGAAGGATGTGAGTATGTACAAATAAAGAAGAGCATTCCAGTGAGACAACAGCATAGACAGAAGTATAGGTACTGGAAAGCACACAGTAGAGGTAAGGCAGATAGTGACCAGTTTGTGGTGTGCTCGAGAGCAAGGCTGAGGTGATTAGGAGCCATGACAGTTTTTTGAGTAGGGGAGTGGCCATTAGTCTGGCAATGTGAGTTCAAGAGATTGGAGCAGGAGAGTTGGGGGAGACTAGTGAAAGCGAGGCCAGGGAAGAAACTACCATCAAGTATGTTGTCCTTGTAATGTCAGTAATTTTTTTTGGGGGGGGGACACCAGCAGGTGCCATAATGGTTATGTTGCTGGGCTCCCATGTAGTCACCGTGGTTTGAGTCCCAGATTGCTGGGCATGTGTGTACGTGTGCCCAAAATCCCTAGAGGAGAATGGAGAAGAAGGGATTGCAGTGTGACCATCCTCCCAGGGGGTGATTTCTTGCTTTCTTTATCTCTGTCTCTCTCTGGTGAGCGCATATGCCCTATAGCCAAAATCTCTCAAAAAATTTTTTTTTCTCTTTAGAGAGAGATTTTTGCTATAGGGTGCCTGACAGAAAGTGAGAAATCATCCCCTGGGTGGATGGCCCTACTGCAATCCCTTCTCCTTCATTCTCCTCTTGGGATTTTGGGCACGTATGTACACACACCCAGCATGAGTTTCAAGCCACTGGATCTGGAACATGAACCGTGGTCAGACGTGGGAGTCCAGCAATGTAACCATTATGCCATTTGCTGGTCCCAACATCAGTAAATTTTACGGACTATTCTAACAGTAGAGGCAGGAGAAAATGTGATCTTAAATTAAGAGAAAGTTGACATAGTAAGAAGGTTTGGATGTAAGCCTCTAAGAAAAAAAAAAAAACCAAATAAAACAAAAAACAGTAACAACAAAACCAAGTCCCTCGAAGACTTGACAGTTGTGGGAAGGAGTTGAAGGCATGACCATTTGGAGTCCAATACTGGTTATACTATTTACTGACCATGGGGGCCTGGAAATAGAAGATGAGTTCAGTTTGTTGACATGTTGAGTTGGAGGTACTGATAGTTCAGTCCCCTCACGACCTACTTGCCTCTGCCCATTGCCTCTGCCTTTGTTCTTTGACCTGGGGCTTCAGAGACTTCTATTCCATGTATTGCTGCTTTGTTTGAGACCTGGAGGACCCTCTCTTCCCCCCTACCCCACCCCAGCCATCTCTGGGAGTAACTCACTCTTTCTTTGAAATAAGATAGTACATGTAAGGTGTCACTACTTACTTTTTTCAAGTGTACGGTAAACATTAGTGGCTATTAAATGGCTATTGTTGCTATCATAGCTATTCAGTAGCTAGAGATTAGAGAAGCTTCTGGAACCACATGGCTGAACGACTCAAGAGTCTTTCAATTTATACTCAGTAAAAAGCCTGGACTTTTTACATCTCCAAGTAAATGAAGATGTCAGATTGAGTCTAAATGGGTACAGGGCTCAGCCATATCCGCTAGAACTAGATACCCTGTTCTCTGCCTTTCCCTGGTCACCTCCATTCTACATTCCTGGGAACATACAGGAGTTTCTCTGTTCTTTACCATCCTCACCCAAAAGAAGAGGGAGATGAGCAGAGAAACCTGAAATCGATCTCTGAGCGCTTGAAAGTTTGTTCCAGCTGGGGTTCCAGGTTTTCTCATCCTGGAGGAACCTTCCCCAGGAGTAAGACAGAGTTAAGAGTTGTCCAAAAGACCTGAGTTCCACTTCTGGTTCTGGCGCTAACATATTTTGATTGTGGGCAAGTCTCCAAACCCTCTGTTCAGTTTTCTCATATGTAAAAGAGAGAATTAAATAATTCTTCCATGTATCTCTAGTACTTCATTTTCCCTGACACTCCATTCATGCTTTTATTGACTTTCTTGTTGCTCAGATGTACCAAGCTTATTGTTGCTTAACTATTCCTGCTGCAGGGCCTTTACAAGTGATATTTGCACTCTTTAGGGAACATTTTTCCCTCAGATCTTTGCATATCTTACTCCCTTACTTCATTCAGATCTCTGCCCAGATGTCACCCTTTGGAGAGGCCTTGTTTCACCATTTTATTTTAAATGACCCAACTCTTAACTCCTTTTCATTTTTTCTTTTCTTACCCTGTTTTATTTTTCTTTATAATACTCAGTACTACTTGAAATAGTGTATTTAATAATTAACTTGTCTTTTGCTAGGATGCAAAACGTATGAGGGCAGGAACTTTGAATGCATGTACTACCTTGAGTTCATGCCTCTTTTAAGCAGGACCCCTGATGGATTACTCTCTCTGTTATAGGTGAGCCCTATTCTGGAAGCAGCTGATGCTGACCTTTTAACCCAAAGGAGGAAATAACTGTTAAGCTGAGCCTTGATACAGGTGAGTGAGGATGTTTGGGTAAACATAGGCCAAGATACAAAGTAACCAATTTTGAGAATATTTAACTCTTAGTGTGGTTAATTTATAGGTGATTACATTTCTATTGCTTGTCTAAGAGATAGGGTGTTGGCATAGGCAGCCTCTTGGACTGAGAGGAAGACTGAGATCACTTTCCTAAGGCTGCCAAAGAAGGTCTAGGATCTGGGATCTTTTGACATCAAAAAGGCAAAACAGACTTACTTTCTTGCTTTTGTCAGCTGCTCTCTTCTTGGGGAGTCTCTTGGGACCTTGCAAGTGTACTTCTTTCCCACACTGTTAACATGACTTCACAAGCCTTAGAGGTTTTCCTAACTTCAGACTCTCCTGTGACCTACCAAGCCCATAGGTAGGGATTTTCTTTAGAAAATCTTGTAATTTCTCAGACCTGTAAAATGTAATCATGAGGGCTGGCAGGTGGCTTGGTGGTTGAGGCGCTGGACTCCCATGTGGCTGACCACAGTTCAAGTCCTGGACCTGGCGACTTGCTTTCTCATTCTCCTTTTCTGTCTGTCTCTCTTTGGTCAAAATTGAAGAATGATGATAATAAATAAAATTAAAAATAAATAAATCTTTTTAAAAAATGTGATCATGGTTGGTGACGAGAATGGAGTGATAGAGTAGGGCTATATGAAGGAAAAGTCATGAGAAGCTTGGAAGGAAAACCACAGATAGTGAGAAGGAACAAAAAATCAATACATTAAGAATGTTTTGTGTGGGGCCGGCAGTGGCATGATGGTTAGGGCTCTGGACTCCCACATGGCTGACAGTGGTTTGAGTTAGTCTTTAAAAAAGAGAATGTATTGTGTAATGGATGTTATTTAATCTAGAAAAGACTCTGTTTTATAGATAAGGATGTCGGGACTCAGAAAGCTGAAATAATTTGCCCAGATTCATACTTGAGAATCCAAAAGCTTATGTTAGAACTTAGATCAATCTTACCGTAAATACCACTGTTCTTTCTGACGTGGCAGGCGTTTCTTGAGTCCCTAATCTCCCTTGGAATCCCGATTTTTCTTAAAAAGTTCTAGAAGACAGACCTCTTTAGGCATTCAGGAAGGAGATTCAATTATCTGAGGGGCACAAGGGGCCCAGCAAGACAAGATAGAAGTTGTAAATATTGCTAGTGAGGAGGCTAAGATGCTGAAATGAAAGATAGGAAGAATCTTCAAGCAGGCAAAGACTCAGACTAACTATGACCACAAGAAGAAAACTTTTTTTTTTTTTTTTGCTATAGGGCGCGTGCACTCGCCAGACAGAGA